TTTTCATGAAGCCTGAAGCAAAATAATAATAATCGTTTATACGAGATTAGCACATTCACTCCATAACAAATTGCAAAGAAATGAGTGTATCTACTGGACTATTTTTTCGATTTCGATGTTCGAGTACTCATTCTCTTTAGAAATGAATAGCCTAAGATGATATCGGTACAGGTTGGAAAAAATCTGATTCTCTTTTTTTCCAGCGGTTTTTGTAAATGACAATACTTTGGTAGAATCCGCCATTTTGTTTTTGTTCATTATGAAATTTTCAAATATTCCACTGTATACTATAGCCCTTTAGCTATGAAACGACGCCAAGATATTCGAATTCGGTTCAGAAATGATGAAACCACGAGGAAAATAAAAACTTCCGGTTTTTTCGTGACCACCCGATACAGTACCGATAATACTTTGGATTTTTGACCTATGCTATTAATTGTTCTTAATAGGTATTGCTGAGGTACTTCTTCAATACATAAATTTTTGTGTCTGATGATGGCCTGTGGCCGAAACTAGTTACCTTCTACTGAGCTAAAATGAACAGTTTTCGAGATATTTGACAGATAATTGAAGTTTGCATAATGACCCATTCAAAGATGAAACCATATACCGAATTAGAATGCAAAATATTCAGTCATTCTTGAAGTATTGCGGAAAAACTATTTAAATTTCTCAACTTTAACACCCTGTAACTCGAGAACTGAACACTTGAAGACCATTTGTCCCTATCTTAGTGATTATAAAATCACGAGGGCAATCACCTGTAAAGAGTGTAAAGCGTTATCGGTCGAATTTCGAAACACCCTGTACTATTTTATACAATTCATCCAATGAAAATTTGTCTATTATCACCGGTTATCGCATACATTTGTTGAGATATCAAATGAGAGGCGATACAATGGGGAAGTTTTCTATATTGAGATTGTTATCTCACTGTGAAGTTTGTAAAAAATTAATATATACGAATTTTTCTTTTTTTCGTAAGATCAAATTTCACTTCAGAAAAAAATTGATAAAAGAAGAACTTGGCTCCTCTACCATTCCTATGACTTACTTTATGAAAATCCACATTCACACAGAGTTAAAATACGATTCCTTGTGTCAGTACGACGTTGCCGACATCATCAATATGTCTAGATTTTCGGATATTGTTCTTTGCATAATAACTATATCATAACAGCAATGGAATATAATAGGTTCTTCAATCCTACTTTGTCAAGTATTATGATTACTAATAAAGATAAATCATGATATTTTGCGATAGAATTTTAACTATAATTTTTCACTGCCGTTATATTACAATATGTTATTCATAACTTGTCAGTCATTTTTTGCTCATGTATTCGTTCATTAATAAAACCAATCTATTTTCCAGGAAAGCTGCAGATTATATCTTGCAACAGCGACTAATACTTCGAGTCCGTCCACACTACTCAAAATACTGACAGGCACAACAAAAGGAAGGTGCCATGGTTGTCGGCTTCATTCTGTTCTGACCGATGGCAGTAAATTATGAAGGATAGTATCATTGAATGTAGTCGATAGTGATTCATTGATTCAATGATATTTTCGTTTAGGATTGAGCTCTATTCGAGATATTTCAATGCATAAAATAAATAACAAAACCATAACCTGTCAGAATGAAGCCAACTACCCTCTGCATTCCTGCTCCGAGTGCATTTGTGGTTATGTACTTTTTTGTTTACCAGTTTTACTTCTTCTATTTTTTTAATTCGTTTTCCATTCGTTAGCTATTCGTTAGCTATTCGCTAGCTATATTCTTCACCATCAGCTATTTCCAGACTAGATTCAGAATGTAAGTCCCAGTTTGTCGCCCCGAAAATTAGAAATTGCTTCAAATTGGAAATGAAAACGACTTGGACTTTATCGGTCGCCATTCTATACAGCGTGGACATAAAACTGGGGAGTTCCGAACTTATTTCATGAAAATTCATCTAACGAAAACTTCCCCATTCTTTCACATGCTTTTTTCTTCTCCCGGACGGGGCCGGACGATTCCCGGAACGGGAAGATCGCGTTAACAGACCGACATAGAGACCAAAAGCTCCCCCTGCACCCCTACCCTCCACATCTGGGGGTGCGGGTGACTCACCGAGTCACCGCTCCAAGGGGGAGGCATTTCCCACCCCCTCATAAGGGCGCCACACGCCACAACTTCACAGCGCCGCCGCGTCTGCCCGGCAAGGGAAGTTGCTAGTTTCCTATGAATTTTAATGGATAGGATTCGAGTGTATTATTTTTTTTATAAGGAAGAGCATTTCACCGACATTTACTAACCTATAATTATATTTTTCCATCACTAACCTGAGAAATCACCATTTTTGGAGGATTTCCTTTAATGAGAAGTAATAATATTTAAACCTATGTAAATAATGATGAATTGATGGAGAAAATTTACTTAGGTGAAAAAAACTTCCAATAGTGTCAATGATATTATGCAATAAACACACCGATGCGTATACAACCAACGAAAATGATACATTCTTAAAACCAAATAATATAGTTGACACTACAATCTCATTACAGCTGGAAGCAACTTTTGAAGTATGAAAAATGTTTGAAATAATCTGACTATTATTGATTAACATTATGCTCGGAATGGACACATACATACCTCATTCTTCGAAAAGATCACCACCATCGAGAGCCTGGTTCAACAAAAACTGTTCTAGAACTGTTGCCTTGAAACAAACAGCCTATATCATCGCTGGCGCAAAAACTCTAACCTCACGGCTAGAGCAGAATACGTTGATGTCAGGAATAACTGCAGCCAAACAATAGATGCTTCGAAAGAAACATAAAATGCCAAGATAAGATCGAAACTCATAGATTGTCCCAATGGCTCCCGTTCGTTTTGGTCCCTTGCAAAAGCAGTCGGAAGGAATTTCACTAATAGTTCATTTCCACCACTGTCCAAATCCGACGGCACATTAGCAACAACATCGCAGGAGAAAGCAAATATTTCTGCAGAGATGTTCGCAGCAAACTCTACTTCAGGTTCTAAGGAAAAGTGCCGCCAGACATTCCACCCGTTGAGAGTCGATTGCCCGAAATCGTCTTCAGTCAACGCACTATCAGACGAATTTTGCATGGTCTCAAAACGAATAAGACTAACGGTCCTGATGGAATTCCACCCATTATCCTCAAAAAATGTGCACCAGAATTAACATCGATTCTCTGCAAGTTGTTTACCGTCTCGTACAGGTCGGGTATTTTTCCATCATGCTGGAAGACAGCTAGAGTCCAACCAATCCCCAAAAAAGGGAACAAGAACCTGCCCAACAACTACAGGCCCATTGCCCTGTTATCAGTAATCTCTAAAGTGATGGAGAAAGCCATCAATATTGAGCTTATCGAATATCTAGAGAGCTCAGGAATCATCAATGATAGACAATACGGCTTTCGCCACCGAACATCTACTGGAGATCTACTTGCCTACGTCACCCATTCGATCGTGTTTGGCACGAAGGACTCCTCCACAAACTACCATCATACGGCATACCACCTCAGCTATGCCATCTCTTATCGAGTTTTCTTTCAGGCAGATCGCTTCACGTGGTGGTGGACGGTATATCGTCCGATACCATTGGCATCAATTCCGGCGTTCCACAAGGATCAATTTATGCACCAACATTATTCCTTCTTCATATCAATGATCTATTGGAGGTATAACAACTTGCCCCTCCATACTGCGTTCTCTTCCAGAATTCCCATTTCTTCCCAGGAAACTAAGAACTCACGGTGCAAGCAGGTCAATGCTGTCAATGAAGACCTTGCTGAAATCACAGCCTGGGGAATCAACAACCTAGTTGAATTCAACGCCACCAAAACTCAAGCCTGTATTTTCTCTAGAAAGGCGGAACTATCAGTATGCCCGATATTGTAATGTCTGGCACCACCATCCCCACCAAGCCCACCATATCTATGCTCGGTATTTCCATCAGCAACACTCTTTCATTGGATAATCATGTCAGATCCATCGCAAGAGCTGCTTGACAAAAACTCGGATTCTTGTTCCGTACGAAAAGCTACTTCACACCTCAACAGCTTCTCATGATCTACAAAGCGCAGATACGGCCTGTTCTAGAATACTGTTCCCACGTATGGGTCTCAGCACCAAAACATACGCTGATGCTCTTAGATTCCATCCAGAGAAGAGCCATTCGCCTGGTGGGTGACGTCACACTCACTCACTCTTTGACATCATTGGAACACCGTAGAAAGGTCGGCGACCTTTCACTTTTCTATCGATACTTCCACGGGAAATGTGCTTCGGAAATCTCTGCTATCATCCCTTCACTAGCAATACCAGTCAGACGAACTAGACCAGCCCAGTCAGCACATTCTTCCGTTGTCAACCTCGAAAGATGTCGAACAGCACTTCATCAAAACTCCTTCATCCATAGAACAGCTAGGCTCTGGAGTTCGTTGCCTGAGGAAGTATTCCCAACAACATGTAATCTCCAGAAGTTCAAAAAAAATTCCAATACCTACCTCATGTCCCTATCCTCCCTAGGAACGCAGGAACATTATAGGGATTTCATCTCGTGCGCTCCAAGCGATGAAAAAAATTCTAATAAAAAAGTCACAAACCATATGTGATAAGTGAGCAGTAACTGACGTAACTGCCACGTGTGAATTAGACCATGAATTCAAATAACCATGAGTTTCGGTAAGGACACATTTTTTGGACCAATCAAATCAATTTCAGCTATGGCGGTCAGGCAAAAAATGTAAAATGTCGAAAGTAAATCGAATCGGTCCACTTTGAGAAACTATTCTACTGATTCATTATTTCAAAAAGTGGTGTATTGTTCATTGAAAATTGGAGCAGAAACAATTTTGTAAACGCTCCGTTTCTCCAAATTATTATTGACGTTGACAGAAGACAGGTGACATTGAATTTTACTGTATACTTACTGTCAATATAAAAGCACAAAATGGCTCACCCATTCCAGAGGAAATATGACGGAACATACCTTGGACAATAAATCCAATTTCTCTTCTTTCTTCTTTCTAAGCTGGTCTTGCAACTTCGACACTTGTTCAGAAGACTTCTTCAAATCGCATTTGGCCAATTTGAAATTCTTCTTCGTATTGGTCAGTTCTTCTTGTGTCACTTTTAACTCCTTAATAAAAATCAGTTCAGTGTATATTCAGGGTGTTTTTGTTGATAGTGGATTATATGTTCCGATTGTTAATTTAAAAAAATGCAGCAACATTGTTGTTTTGCTGATGTACAAACGGTACAAATGGTACAAGTATTAAAAATATAATTCTGACTAGGAGTTCGAGAAAAACAGCAAAAAACAGCCTCTCAAATTCCTTAACCAAAATCCATATTCAGGGTATATTGAGTTTTACGAGAATTAAATTTGGGTGTACAACGGGGAGTCGTTTAATTTATGGAATATAACTAACATTTTTGTATACCCCATATTAGGAAGAGATCTGAATGAACCAGCACTCACCTTTATCAGATGAGAGTTTTCAGCTTCAAAAACGTCAATTTTCCTTCTCAAAAGCTGGCACTCGCTCAAAGCTTCATCACGTTTTTCACATTCCGAGTTTCTCATTGCTTTCAGGAAATCCACCTGCACCTCCAACTGACTTACCTGGAATGATCATAGTGTCATCATTTTTTTTTCGAATCATGAAAAATATAACTGTGTGTTGAATTATTTTGTGAAAATTCTTAGATTCGAAATAGTTGATTGATGCATGATTGATGGCCTTTATTACCCAAAAAAACATACAACAAATCAGAAACAATCATTTTTGAGGTGGGTCGATATTTATAACAGTGTATCCAAAATCGATCAATTTCGTCTCAAAATTCAAGAGTGAACAGATTTACCTGTTTATCTTGTATTTTATTGGATACTAGCAGACCTCGCAAAACGTTGTTTTGCTATATAGGTATGTACAGGGTGGCCAACTAAGAATTCAGAGTTCGATACCTCTGTTGTCTTGCGAGATACAAAAAAAAAGTCATATATCAAAATTGAAGTAATAACCGAGCTTCACATTTCAAAATTTCTTTGAAATACACAAGGTGTTCCGTAGGGTCACAGCACATTAAAGCTATGTTTTTTTCATTGGAACACCCTATATTTCATTTCATTTTTGAATTCTCCATGAAGATCTGATTTCAACAACTTATCATACTTAGGGTCTAGCAGTGAAAGTTACTGACATATAAGGTGTGCAAAATCGAGATTTTCCAAGTTCATGATTTTTTTTCTGTCGAAACTGTTCATTATTCGTCAAAACGGTTTACATGTCCCTATCTCAACTTTTCACTCACTATCAATTGGTGTTCAATTGACATTTAATTGAAACAAATTATAAATTAAGATTTTTTGATCACCTTCTATCAATTTCAATTGAACACCAATTGATATTGAGTGAAAAGTTGAGATAGGGACATGTAAACCGTTTTGTCGAATAATGAACAGTTTCGACAGAAAAAAATCCTGAACTTGGAAAATCTCGATTTTGCATACTCTACCGGGTGTAACAGGATCATGGTACACCCCCCGTATCTCCGTTAGTTTCAGAGGTAATTGATCGGAATTTGGGATATCCCATATACATAATGAGAGGCACTTTTTGAATTACAAATGATTTTTTTACCACTTCCGGTTTCGCCGGAAGTGATACCAACTTTCGATTTTTAAATGGAACACCCAGTATATTATTACATTTCTGAAATCTGCATAATTTTCTGAATCCAATGATACCACATAAGTGACATTCCAAACGTAAAAATTTTTAATTTTTTTATTTTTAGTTTTCCATTTAAGTGTGCCATGATGGTTCCGATTTATTCCAATTTGACCCGTCTAATGCTAGAAAAATCGAAATCCTCTCAAAAATACAAAATTACGTTTTTTATGAGCAAATAAAGTTCATCGTAATCGATTTTCGGGTAAAACTCAATTTTTTCAAATGGAACCATATTGGTACCGTGGTACCATTTATTAGTACTATTAATAAGCAATTCATCCATACCTGCTAATAAAATGTGCGATAAATACAATCAAAATCACAGCTAAAAGAGAATAAGAAAATACAATTATTTTGTTCTAATTTAATGCTAAGAAATTATTGAGGTGGCTTTGAAAACAATGAAATTAATTCTTCAGATTGTCAAATAAATGTTGGTTTATCGGTGGTTTATCGATGATGTCATTGTGTATTGGAAAAGTCTTTACATTTGTTGTTATTCACGTTCAAAAAACCGCACATTCATACAAGGGATGAAAAAGTGAACATGTTGATTATTTATTGGGAATGTAAAAAAAATGCCGTTGCGGCTAGAAACCTTTATGCCGACCGATATCCTGATAGACAATGTCCAGGAGAAATTATTTTAATCGTCTCGAAAATCAATTCCGAAGAGAGCCTAACCATGATCCCGAAGAAAACTTTATCATTGACATAGGAACGGAAATTAATGTTTTAGCTAGAATAGAAGTTGATAAGACCGTTTCTTTAAGGCAAATTGGGTTTGAATTGGAAATTAGTCACCAAACGGTAAGCCGAATCTTGCACAAACATAATTATAAATCTTTCAAATATCAATTGCACCAGCACCTGAACGAAAATGATCATGAACGTAGGATGGAATATTGCAATTGGATCTTGCAGAATAATGTGCAGACAAACAATGATTTTTTGGGAAGGATTTTATTTTTGGACGAGTCCAGCTTTACAAATATGGGATAATTTAACCGACAAAATACAAGGTATTGGTCACAAGATTATAAAAATTTATTGCAGGAGGGTAACTTTCAAGTGCGGTTCGGTTTCAATTTTTGGTTTGGAATACTCGGTCGTAGAATCATTGGTCCAATAATATTTGAAAGACCTTTGACTGGAGCTAGATACTTAGAATTTCTGCAAAATGACATTGAGGACAGGTTAACTGAATTACCTGTCCATTTACGACAGATAATGTATTTCCAACAAGATGGAGCTCCTCCCCATAATTCAAGAATAGTAATTGATTACCTTCAACAGGCATTCGGAGAAAACGTTATTTCGACGAATGGTCCTGTGCGATGGCCTCCAAGGTCACCTGGTTTGACACCTCTTGATTTCTTCGTTTGGAGCCATTTGAAAAACATTGTCTATGCAACCGCCGTTACAACTCGCGAAGACCTGGAGTTGCGAGTAAGACGCGCAATTGATAGTATAACGGCCCAGCAATTAGCGAACGTTCTTCAAGAAACAGCTATGCGAGTTCAGAAGTGCATTGACGTTAATGGACAGCATTTCATCTTATTTTCTTTTAGCTGTGATTTTGATTGTATTTATCGCACATTTTATTAGCAGGTATGGATAAATTGCTTATTAATAGTACCAATAAATGGTACCACGGTACCAATATGTTTCCATTTGAAAAAATTGAGTTTTACTCCAAAATCGATTACGATGAACTTCATTTGCTCATAAAAAACGCAATTTAGTATTTTTGAGAGGATTTCAATTTTTCTAGCATTAGACGGGTCAATTGGAATAAATCGGAACCATAATTGCACACTTTAATGGAGAACTAAAAATTAAAATATTAAACATTTTCACGTTTGAAATGTCACTAATGTGGTATCATTGGATTCAGAAAATTATGCAGATTTCAGAAATGTAATAATATACTGGGTGTTCCATTTGAAAATCGAAAGTTGGTATCACTTCCGGCGAAACAGGAATTGAAAAGAAAATCATTTGTAGGTCAAAAAGTGCCTCTTATTATGTTTATGGAATATCCCAAATTTCAATTAATTACCTCTGAAACTAACGGAGATACGGGGGGTGTACCATGATCCTGTTACACCCGGTATATGTCTCTGTTTATGTTCGGTGCTTTGATGAACATAGCGCTGGCCATCCCTGCCATGTCCACAATATATATAACAGTTTCACCAAACAAAATTATGAAATTCTTTCTGGTTCCAACTCCGATTCCAAGGAAAACGATCCCACTAATTCTGGTTTCATATGACAAATCTTGACAAAATACAATGTTTGCCCCTCAGCAACCTGTCAAATGACGTAATTCTGGAATGATTGATAATTTCATCATGAATATGGGGTCATAAGGGGCATCTAAAAAATCTCTATCGTCTAGTTCAATATCTTATCGTGTGATTATCATTTTTCAACGTTTTCCAATAATATTGGATTATTTTTCCAACATATTGGATTTTTTAAAACATATTGGAGTTTTTTTCATTATATTGTTTTATTTTCAATATATTGAGAAAAAAATAATTTAAGTATTTTAATTGTGTGACCCCAACAGGCTTTCGAATAAAGCAATATAATTCGCACCAAACAATCTCATTTCATCCTATTTTCGACGGTGCCACCATTCAATTCGATGCATCAGGTGTTGAATCACGCGACGACGGGCGTCGAAACCTGATACGGAAGCGTCGCGACGCCACGTAATATACCGTTAACGAAAAAAAATCGTTCGACGCTGGATAATCATGACTAGGTGCCTGGGTGTACAGTGTGTCCCGTTTTCGATGCTTTTGCGTGATATCTGAGTTATCTCTGGAGATAGAACCTTGCGGTTTTCGAGGTCCTGTGCCACTTTTTGGTGAAACTCAAGATGGCCTATCAGATTTTGCATAACTGTTTCCGTTTATGAGATGCAGAAATATTTTGAAAATTTATACTTTATGCACCCCTTCTATATCTACAAAGTTTCTCAGCGAAAATGTCAAATTAAAATCTGATGCCAGAGATAATTCCACGCAGAATACAGTGGCGCACTCATTTTTTTTCCAGGGGTAAGGTTTTGCAGATACGACTCAAACTTATGATTTTCCAAATGTAACACCCTGTACTTTATAAGCTCATTGAATTTCTCCTATTTTTCCTTCGAAATGATATATAATGTTAAAATATAGAATTCTCAAAAATGCTGCAAATCACTAAAACATTGAATTCTAATAGTGGGCTATGGATTTTCCAAATAGAAAAAGTTCCAATTGAAGGAATATTTCTTTCTATCTCTTCATGAAGAGGACAAAAACAATACCAACACTAATTAACTAACTACTAACTTGAACACAAAACTTAGGTATCTGATAGCAACAGATAAATGGTGAAGTTCATAAGGTAGAATAAGCACTTGATTAAAAAATTCTTTAGTAACTCATTCACTGAATTGTTCAAATTGATGTCCATTAAGCCAACTATTAAAATTAAATTTTTTGTGATTTTGGAGCATTTTTGAAAATTTCATCTTAATACATTATATACAGTGTGACCCATTTAAAATGGAACCACCCCTGTATCTTACGTAATCGTTGGGTAAGGATCCTGAAATTTACTGGAGCGAGAGATATACCAAAAATGCACTCTATGACCAAGTGGGGTCGCATCTTCAGTGATATACAGTGCTCGCCAACAGCCATGAAACTACCCCAATTTCCGGAAAATGATATTAGGAGTCAAAATAGGTCGAAAATCACTTCAGATTTGCGGTCATGGCAAGTTGGGTCTCTAGTCAATAACCTCAATAACCTCAAGGCATATCAATAGTTTTTCGAAAATATCTCAGGAACCTCTACATTTACGCATGTGGAATGATATTACT